TGATAAAACTTGTTTTTTAATGTTCAAAGTAGTTTGTGCTCATAACAGAACAAAATGACTGACTGAAAAGGTCCTATAGAAGATAGAGACTGGTGAAGACAAGTAAATGTACAATTATTACAGTTATTTAATATTTGGTTATTTATTACTATAACAAAAGAAAGTTAAAAGATTTTAGGACACCCATAACCAAGACTGTTAGGGCCACATACTGTTATTCGCACAGTGGTCATTAAAAGAGTTTACAAAATAGCCTAGTATTGCTGTATTAGCTTGATTTAAATAATTAACACAACCAATCAAGTAATTTATCAGAAAAAAGGCTGAATAAATTGCTCTGTTAAAGAGTTTGAGTGCCCTTATTCATTATCAACTAATCAAAGGGAACATTTTTAATCCTCACCCTGAAGTGCAATTAACTGTGTGAAATAAACTCAAAATGTGGCTGTTTATCTGTTAATGTAGTACTATTATTAAAATTGATTGCTTCAAAGCTTAGTATTATTGTTTAGATTTATAACCAGATTAATTTAAACACTCCTACTAGGCTTTATTGGTTCTTTTTCTTTTAAAACATTTTAGGCGCAGGCAAAACTACCACGGAGCCAAGAAGGAACAAAGTTCAAAGACTTCTAAATAAGACCTAAAGAAATTACTGGAAGACCTGCATACAAGAGCCCTTTGGATCTCAATATTTAAGCTAATTCTTTATGACATAATGTCTCCCATGTGCTATTTGAGCTGTGTTTGTTATAATCTATACTATATATATCTATATACTATCGACATAAACCCAGTTTTAAATCCAGGATTTGTTCATGGATAGCTGCAGTTAGTTACTGTTAGGGAATTGTACGAACAAATACAGTACAGTATGTCTTTCTTTTGAATTGTATTTTTAAACACTGGATCAACATGTTAGGGATTTGTTATACTTTGTGTTTGAAGGTTTAGTTTTCATGGGAAAATGGCAAAAGAGCTGTTGGTGTTTTGTTTTTTCTTTTCCTTTTTTTGTTTTGGTGTTTTTTTTGTTTGTTTGTTTGTCAATGGTTACTTTTAATATTAATGAGAATTAATGAAAATATAGAAATGGATCCTAGATGGAAGTTCAATTGAAGAACCTGATTGCTCTCCTTCATCCACCTGCGACACAGCCTATCAGCTTTAAACCACACCTCCATGAATTCCAATCAGCATCCAAAGTTCATCTTAAAAGGCCTCCGATACGCACCTGTCTGCTCCTGTGCGCAGGTGGCAGATGCGCTGTGTGACTTCATTCACATGACACTGTTTCAACCCTCCTCCAGCCCCTCCTCTGCCTTCGTAGCTAAAGTTTAATCAGTGTCATTCCCCCTGGACTCCTACTGTGTTCCATGTCTCATCTTACCGGTAAATGCTCCGGCAGAAGATCGCCATGTTGAGTCTGTTTCTGCCTGAGGTTCCTTCCCAACGGGGAGTTTTTCCTCTCCACTGTCACTTCATGCATGCTCATAATGGACAGGTTCACTCAACCTGTGTTATCCAAACTGGACTTCCATCTTCCAGGTCCCTCAGCATACCGTATCACCAACCAGCAGTCTACATACTGATCAACTTCATCCATCTCCACTCCACCACCAGTTTCAGGCCGGGGGGTGGGGAGGGGGGGCGACACAGCCCTATTCTCTACTCCTGTTTATGCATATCTATCAAAATTAAGCACTATGTTTCCTGCCGAGGTCTGAGCGCCAAAGACAAAGTAATTGTATTAATAAATTTCTCCTAATTTTCTTTCTCTTCATGTGAGTTTTTCATATTGCATCTAGTTTAGAGAAAATATTCCAAGTTTCAGGTGTATCATTTTTAATCCCTCCACCCTTAAAGTTATTCATTTTAACTTCTTAGTGAAAACAGAAACTTAAACTAAACAGCTTATTAATCTATCAGCTAGTGCCTCAGGTTTTCCTTTTTCCTTTTATTTATTTTTTAAGTTTTTATTTAAATTGTATGGAATATGTGGAGTTACAGTAGCTATAGGTGAGGCTGATCTAAAGTAGGCATTCCTAAAAAAACAACCAAAAACATATAAATCAGTCATTTTACTATTGATGTGCTCTTAACATTATTTTATCAGGTGTATATTTCTCATTTACTTTTGAAAGCAGCCTTCTTGAAATTACAAAGAGGTTGATTTACATTGCTGGCTACATAACATGCTTTTTTTGTTTGATAAAAAAAATAAAATAGAATACTTTTTTGAAAAATATCAAATTTAATTTGGTTATAAAAGATGTATTTTTTCCCACATGTACACTCACATAGTTATCATAAATACCATCTATAATGATTTCTCTTTTGTCACAAAGCAAGCAAGTACAGTGGACAGATACATGTGATTTTAAAGGACACCATGGAGAATGCTTGCAGTCTTTTACACACAGAGGACATTTCAGTGCAATTCAAAAATAAAATGCTGTTGAAAAAAAATCAAGTAGAAACATTTATAAATCATCTACAAATGGATCAGAGTACAAAAGAGCTACAGCGTTTTGAGACACCACCCATTCACAGGTGAATGTTTTGGTTTTTATGACCATCTTATTTGTACAGTTTTGACAGATTTGACTTCTAACTCTACAAAGAGCAGCTTTAAAACATAAAAAAGAACAATAAAAGAAAGAAACAGAAATCTGCTGCAAACCAGACAATTTCTTCTGTCAAAATATGCCTGTAATATTATTGAGAAGGTATAAGGAGGAGAACTGTGATAAACACAACATACATCGTTCAAGTGCAACTCCAAAACAAACATAAATGGGAAAACATACATGTCTTTTAATTAAAGCTCAGACTCATACTTAGGAATTCAGATTGTGAGAAGAAATCTTTAACTTTATGATGTAAAATTGTGGAAAAAGCATGCAGAGCATTTTCTTGAGCAATCTCTGTTGCAAAACAAATGCTTAATGATATGTGTTTGAAAATCAAAAAAGGAGGCAGGAGAATAGTTTCATTTCAGTTTTTTTCACAACAATAAAAAACCCTTTTTTGTATTTTTGGTCGTCGTCAATTTAGTGTTGCATCAAATCTATGCTATCTTCAATTTACATGGCTTTCAGTTTGAGAGATGGTAGTAGAGATGAATTTGAGATTTTTTAGAAGTGAATGTGTACTAAAAAGTTTTGTTGATGTATAAAAATGTAGCGTGCACCAACCTCAACATTTCTTGGCACCCATGTTTTTTCTTTATTTTTATGGTTAAATAAAATACATATACATATATATATATATATATATATATATATATATATATATATATATATATATATATATATATATATATATATATATATATATATATATATATATATATATATATATATATATATTTTTTTTTTTTTGTTTACATTTGAACATTTTTGAATCCAATAGATTTAACTTCAAAAGAGTGATGACATCTTCAAATAGATATATCAGGAGTTAATATTTAAATCTGAGGTATAGATATGACTTTGAGGCTTTTTTCTCTTAACAACTATTTAAAACTTGTAAAATTACGAATTAGCTTCATGAAAAAAACTTCTTTCTTAAAATCCTCCATATTTACAATAGGAGGGATAGTTAAAATACTTAAAAAAGCTGGTACTACAACAAATACTTTTCGATGGGGCGCAAACTATATTTTCGACATGCACAGTGAGGATGTAAATAAATTATTCTGAGGAGCTCAGTGCTGCAATGTTCATATAAATGTTGTTTTTCTGGGTGAAGTTGCCACTGCAATAAATGGATTTGTTTTTATGCCTTTTACTCTACATTTATTCAAGGGTGCCAATACATTTTTGAGGCTAATGTGCAAAATTTTAACAATATTTTTTGGAGCAACAAAATAAAAGTTTCACAAATTTAAGATTTTACTCGACAGAGATCATGAGAATGAAAGTAAAAATTTGTATTTTCTACCAGATTTATAAGCTGTTTAAAATGTGATTTCTGTGGAATATGCTTATTAATGTAGTTGAAATGGAAGTAAACCAAATGTCTGCAACATGAAATCCAAAGGAAATGAGTCAACATATCTTACAAATTTCAAAAAGCAATGCATGCCTTGATATTTTGTAAATTAAGCAATTTTTTTTTTCTGTGGTTTCAGTGTCTTCCATTTACTGTATTTCTGCAAGATATAAACAAACAACACAGTGCATTCAATGAGAGCAGCAGAATATTATTTAAAAATCGGATCAAAATAAAAGTGCTAAACACAAAATGCATCACATGTCCACAGGCACATAAACATTTTTTAATCCAGTCAGAGAAAACATCCACTTTGTGCAATAAGATAAACACAGAATTTTCTCTTGAACTAGGCGTTTCATGACAGTTTGACAGGAAAGACGACAACTATTACTGCTCTAATTTATTTATCCTAGAAGTGACAAAGCACAGAGGAACAGTTTGGAAACCAAAACCTCTTGTAAGTCAGTCTTGTAATCAAAAGAGGAATGTTGTGATCATGTTATATTTAAAAAGGCCACTGAGACGGCTGTGCTCGCCTGGCTTTTAATGCCCTGGTTCTGATCTGCTGTCAATTTCCTTTATTAATCAAACATGCTAACTATTAGATGTGAGTTTGATACAAATAAGATTGTATCTTCTTTCCCAATATATCAATATTGCACATAAATATTTTTTCATTTCGTGGCCAGCATTGCTCCACAGAGCACATAACAGTGCAGCGTAGTTAAGATTTCCTTAAAAGGAACAGGCATTCTTTCTTGGTAAAAGACAGCGTTTAAGGTTTATTTATTTAACTATCTATGGTACACATTATGCTTCCATTTACAAAAGAATGAGCTTGTGAATTCTTTAAAAAATATATATTAAATAAGGATAATGTAAACCCACTCTTAGTTTTTGGGAATGTGTGCCATTTGACCATAAAGTAGTTTTTGATTTGAACATTTCTTACTTCGTCAATATATTCAGAATATATCTCAAGCCTCTGTGGCTTTCATTACTTGTTTATATCTAAATGCATCACATAACAACTTTTAAATGTTTTATTATATGGTGTGTTGTGAAAAAGTGGAAGAATTTTTCAAATATAAATTGATAAAGCGTAACCCATAATAATGATAATTTTATGTTGCTCTATTTTGCCAAAGGTAAAATCTGTTTTGGTTGATGTAAAGTAATTTTTTTAGGCTAATACTATATTCTACAGATCAAATACTACATTTACATTAAATCTACAGTATCATTTACACATTTTCTCCATTCAGCCTGATTCTGTGTCACTTTAAAGAAAAAAAAGGGTGGAAATTACCTTGCTCTTAAATCTATCTGTGCCAAAGATTCAGATCTCCTTAATTTTCTCCCCCTCTTCTTTATATCCATTCGAACTGCTGTTTATGTTCATATCAGCCTCTCTTTCCATTGTTCAACTACAGTTGTGATTTCTACCTTTATTCTCCTTAAAGATATAAAGAATAAGGCAACATTCGTCCTGTAAATGGATCAAAATGCATTGAATTTTTAATCAAATATGATGGCAAAGTCCACTATATTCATAATCTGCATTTTACCTTACTGCAGCCAAGTTCAAATGTATTTTTCAATGCTGTCATGCAAAAAAATAAAAATTGAAATTTTATTTGTGAGAACCATCAAAAAGTTGTAACAGTGTCATATTTAGATTTCTTTAAGTTTAAAATTATAAAACTAAATTTTCATCAATGAATGATGATGCCTTTGAAGCTACCTGAAGACACTTATAATTCTGCATGCAGACATAGTACTCCATTGTGCTTTAAGGTATCATATGTAATGTTATTGCCCCAGGCAGCAGATGCATCTTGAAAAGTTTCACTTATTAAATTAGCAAATAAGCAAGCTAAATTTTAAAAAAATCAAGGTTTTAAAACTTTCAGTGTTAACCCTTTTTTCCATATAGAAATGAAAAAGATGTCATTTTTAGACAGTTTGTGGAGCAAGATGGCATTTTTTTCCTTTGAAGAGCAAAAAAGGCTTTAAATATGTCTTCCTAAATGTCATGTTGTGATTTGAATCCCTGTTATTAGTTCTTTATGGTCCTCCCTATACGATATTCCGCCATTCTATGTTATGCATTGTGGAAAAAAATGGCTTCATAACTCGAGGTTGACGAGGGTGTGAAATAAAGAAGAGGAGAAAAGCATGTCATGAAAATCCTAGTTTTTCATTTTAAAAAGCATCCCTTAATTTGAAATACATCACAGTAATATGTGTTTGTGTCTGAAAGTCACTTCCCTCTTGATTTTGGCACTCCACTGTACAAAAGTTTTTTTTTTTTTTTTTTCCATTAATCAACAAATTTGTATCACTTGCTTGTCTCCCGCAGTCAAGGAGTCAAATCACATGGCCACTCTGTAATGCACTGTCACATCACAGTTGATTGTATGGATGCTATGTACAGAGCCCCACAGGTGTACTGTATTTGTTGTAAGGTTATGCTATTTGTCATCTTTACTGTTGTTTCACAGGGGAGAGTCTCTTTAGCAGTTTCTTTCCCTTTGAGAGTATTCCTTTCTTCTTCTTGTTTGCCAGATCTTGGGCATCCCTGGGGTCCAGTGGGACATGGTGTCCCCTCGGAGGACTCAGTGGTCTCATAGTTCCTGGAAGGAGGGGGCGAACGATCGGGGATGGGGCCCGAACCGGTGTGGTGATGTTGTTTGTCGTCTCTGTGTTTTCTGGAGTGACCTGAGGAGATAAGTGATGGGGAGATTTGGAGGCAGGGGGGCAGCGTTTTACAAATGAAGCAACCTTTTTGGTTTTCTATAATTTCTCTTAGAATTTTTGTCAACACAAAAAGATCAGCAGGTTTTAGAATCATGAATTAAAGTTTATCAGCTATAAAATAGTAAGAAAAATAGAGAGTAGATATTCCATTGCAGGAAGAAAAGTGCACTTTGAAATGTGTTTATTATTTCCTTAAGGATGCATAGACGTTCAAAGTTTTGATATACTGATGTGCTTTCTCATAACACTGCTGCTCATTTAGTGAGAATTTTTAAAAGTCAGCTGTGTGTATAAAATATTTTGTTTTGGCACTAGCCTTACTCCTTTAAGTGTCAAACCCTGCGCCGTCATCGTGCTTCAAATGTAGATTTACAAAGCTCACATGTAAATGTACTTGTTAATTTCATGTAATCCTTTTTTTTGTTTTGCTTTGTCTATATCTTATCTCTGCTTTAAAACAAAAAGTTTCAAAGCAGAGATAAGTTTTTGTAAATGAGCAAACTTAAAAAAAATATATATATATTCAGGGTATCTTTATTAAAAGATGAGCTGCAGATACAGATGGGATGACCCCCCCTAGAAAAGATTGGCAACTGCCTTAATTGTTTTCATATTTCTTCATAACATCCAGCATTATTATACAAATGATCCTTTGCATTCCGAAGAGCAGTAGGAGTTTCTCCAATGCCAATGGAAATATCTGTCCAACTTTTTTTGTGACATTTCAATCCTGCAAACTTTTGCTTCATGGAGATGGTCACCTTTTCTATTTATTATGTAAGGGTTTACTCTATATCACACAGCTTTGCCACTTCAGCTTCAGATTTGAAAGATACAGTCTTGTTAAAAATTAAAATATCCCATTGAATATTCAATTTCTTCTTCAAAAAAACAAAACAAAAACATTGCTATATTAATGGCCTATATACAGTATTTAAAATATAGTAATTGATTACAGGTAAAAATAGAATAGTAGAAATACATCTATATTTCCCTTAAGTCGCCCCGTAATATCTTCAAATAAAGATGTCTGCCTTGTTATTGTCAAGTGCTGTTTAATTAAAATATCTCTTCTCATAGGGGAGTGTTGGCCTAGTGGCTTAGAGCAGGGTGCTTGTGCTCTGAGAAGGTTAAAAGTACCCGGTTTGATCCCCACAGCCTCCACTCTGGGTTCCTGAGCAAAACCCTTAACCCCTGAATGCACCCTAAGCGCCACACAGTGGCAGCCCAATCCTTCCCAAGGGGATGGGTCAAAATGCAGAGAATGAATTCCCCATTGTGGGAAAAAAAAAGTGATTTACATTACACGTCCAGTTCTTTATGGATTGGGCAGTCATGTTGCTGACCAGTTCTGCTTTGTTTTTATGCCCACTGTTTTTACAGGTGCTCTTATTTTTCTCACGCACTCCCTGAATACAATGCATTCCTGATCCATGACATTTTAGCCTTTGAGTTTCACGATTGGGAAGGTGTTTGTCTGAAAATTTTTTTAGCTACCCGCTAATCGTGCTCTCTGGTCTGCTGTCCACCTTTATTTGAAACTTATCTGGCCTACATAGTATACCATAAGTACCAGTCTTGGTCTAAATTATCTCTGAAACCCTTTGTTCTGGCCACCGTGCCTTTCTTTGAAGATTATGTTCCTTCGCATCACCAATGGAGAGTTTTTGCAGACTGTCTGGTTGCAGAGGTAAACACTGTCAACAGTAGTTTTAGCATTCAGCCATCTGGTCCCAGAGTAAACTTGCATGCACAGCCTGACTTGGAAATGTTGCCAGTTGTTTTGAATCACCTCCATTTGTATATCCTCCACTGAATAGAATGGATGATTTTGAAATTCTTAAGAAAAATAAAAATAAATACCAAACTGCTGCTACAGTCTTTGTTTCTAAATTTCCTGGGATATATTTCAATGCCATTTTAGCAGATGCATGTACAAGGTTTAACGAAGGAAAACCTCATGAATATGTTGGGTAATTACGTCTGATTTATGTTCTGCTGGTGAGATATGCCCTTTGGGTAAATTATGCTGTTTTAGTTTGGAATAAATGATTTTGGGTTTTTTTTTGGTTTATCTATATTACTTGAATTTTTTGGTATTGCTAAGATATATATTAAGAATCTACACATCCAAAAATGTTAAGAGAATGCTAACGGTGACTTAATAATTTCACATAAACATAATGATTGACATGATGACTTTGGTAATTTTAAAGGCAGCATCTCTTTCAGAGAGGTACCAGAAGACATGATATATATAATGTATTTTTTTGTGTGCTGATCAAAATTGTTTTTACCTTTTAAGTGCTTTAAACTAGAACTGATACTGTTGTAAGATACAAACAGACACAGTATATAATCAAGAGACACAAGAGGAAGCCAGAAAATGTTAAAAACAACATCAGCACGCAACAAAAGCGAAGAAGTCCACCATCAGTCGGCCATAAGGAGACATGAAATACAATTATTTACATTACAACACCCAGGGATTCAACTGCAGATTCCAGGCTTCTTTTCTAATGCAAAAAGCTGTTATTTTCAATTTCAGTTTTTTATGTATCATTAAAAATTTTTGGTTTTCAGAATTTTGTTTGCATTTTCACAGAAGCTTTGGTAGATTAAAAGCAATAACCTTAAAATTAAACCAAGTGAAAAGTAAATTTGATATATCTAAGTCACGGCAGGATGCAGCACTAAATAAAGCTTTTGCTGCACCAACAAGCTGTTTGCATTACAGCTGCAAGTCTGAGATCTCCAGTTGCCAACGTACTGTACATGGGCAGACAGAGCCATTTATGGTGTGAAATGAAAAATCTTCTTCTGTTTGTTTGTTTTGTTTTGCCAAGCGGGTGAGGAAAAACAAAAAAAAGAAATCAGATGCGGCAGCGTTGTCACTATCGAGAAAACCCACATCACTATGACAACTGAAAGCAACAACACCACCAACACACATGAACACACAGCGCAAACATAATTGCTTTTAATATCCAATCTTTTTGGGGGTTTTTTTTGCTTTTATTGTTTCATCATAACAATACAGAATGGATGTCTCAGTGCTGCGGTTCTCTTGAGCTCAGAGCAAACATAGCATATCCACTGTCAACATGGCTGAAAAATAGATTTGATGTGTGGGCAAGAGAAACAAAGCCTCTCTGAGAAAACACACAAGCTGAGCCAAGAAAGTTAGAAAATGTATCAAGTTTGAAAAAGGCATGCTTTTCTTTTTATTTGAACTTCTCTTTAATAAATTATTTGAGTTAAACTGGGTAGCAATGTGTTACTAAAGCACTTTTTCATAGAATTGTACACAACCGCAATCTGACTTTGTTTCTTAGTGCAAAGAGTTACCAATTGTTTGTGAAAGGAATGAGTTGAGTGTTTGTTTTTAGATGTCCTCCTCAACCACTTCTATATGCACAAGCAACCTGCAGGGTTCCCACAGTCTATACCCCCTCTGTCCACAGGCTTTGCTTCGTCCTTTCTCTGAGATTAAGAAAGGTGTGAACACTGGATTATGCCCTCTATCCGAAGGGTGAAGGGAGTGGGAAAGTTGTTAGTCTGTATAGAGTCACCACTGTCACCACATGGACAAACACACACAATGAACAGCACACAGACTGCAGGTGGGGGAAGCAAGAGACGGAAATCAAGAGGAGAGGAGACGAAGGATGGATGAACACAGGGCCTAGCGCTGAGAGCGGCGATGGTGATGTACCCGTTTTCCCTCCGATATGTTAGCAGCAGAGTTGGTACTGGGCTGATTGGCGGGCTCTTCCTGGGGGTAGTGGGACGGGGTGTCGGTCAGATAGACCTCCACGTCATCAGGCACTTCTTCCAAGAAGTTAGAGGGCACCAGGCCGCGATGGCCATTGAGCTCACCCTAGGAGCATGGATGGCAAGAAAGGAAAATAAGTCAGCAGGTAAGTCAAGGTGAATTATCAGATATGAGATATGAGGTGTTTCAATGATAGGAAAACTTTTTTTTTCTTAAACATCTTTTAAACATCTGAAACAATCTTTCAATTAATTGACTGCAACTATGGTTGTAAGGCTGAACTGAGGTACTGCCTAAAAGAAACCACCAAACTATATAATTTTAAGTTTCAATTTCTACTAATATAAGCATTTCACTATAAAGTGCTAAAATCAACTTACAAAAGAAGTGAAAAGCTAACTAACCATTATCTTCCAAAGGGTAGTCGGTGTTTACATGTCATCCCTTTTGGTACCCATAGTAACCAGCTTCTAATGGCTACTCCTAGCAGCGTAAAGTACTGTACCATTCCTCTAAGTCCAATCAGCCCTATCAATTATGCAGGGATTTTGATTTTATGAATAATTAACACTCACATAATAAAACCCATCTTCATCAATGTCCCCAAAAACAGCAATGATGTCACCAGCACAGAATGTCAGCTCAGCCTATCAGGAGACAGACACAAAACAGGAAATGTAAATTGATCAATTTTTTTTGGCCTAACTTTCATTTTAAATATTTCCTTTTTAATAATCAATGTAACATAATTTAGATAAATCCTTGATTAGAAAACATTTTTGATTTACACCATAAACCTTTCTAAAAAGACATAATTGCTAATGTAGATGATGATTATCACTAACAGTCTCACTTCAAAGGATGGCAGTACCTCAACATCAACATTAGGGGAGCTCTCTCTGGGATCGTAGTCGTATAGGGCCACCATTCTTCTTGAGGGCTGATCTCGGCGAAGCCCCCTTCTGTTCTGCTCTAAAGATGATAAAATTAAATGATTTAAAAAGGAACAATCACATCCAGGGACTTGGTTGAAAGTATTTAACTTCTCACCCTATAATAGCACTGGATTGAAAAAACTGATCATAATGCATTATGACACACAAATTAATAATTGTTAGTATGGATGGAATCATTACTTATGGACATATAGATAGGTAACCATTAAAAAAATAAATTAAGCATCAAATAATTAAGAAATAGAATTGAAAATATATATATCAATGTGTCTGTTGTTTGTGTCAAACACTTTCTGAAATGAATTTAAGATTTGATTATTATTTTTAGTGCAAACAGATAAGAAAAACTAAATCCATTTTAATTCTTCAAGCACAAACTTTCCTTAATCTTTTTCCACAGTACCTATTTTGTCCACAGGGGTGCTGAGAGGCAAAAAGCCCTGCTTGATGAGCTGATCCATCGTTTCCTCATCATCCGCCCGTATCTCTGACACCATGTTACAGGGAAGCAGCCCCATCCTGTCTTTTATTGCTCCTCTGTAAAACCCATCTGTGTCCTTATCACCATAAACCTGACAGATATGAGAGAAAGACTCAGATTTTAGGAGCTTTATTATCAGGTATTTGTATTCTCGCAGCACACTTCAAGAAGGATGGAATTTACAAACATGTATGCTCTAATTCACAGTAAAACAAACGGGTGTAGACAGAAAAATATTGGTATTTTTGAGGGGTTTAATTATAGATTAGATTTTCATGTAACTTTTTAATTTTATTGTTTTAAGAAAATATTCATTACCTGTAGGCTTTATATTTATGACTCAGTAAAGCAGTTTTATATAAGTTTTTTTTTTTACTATAAATGCTGATATCATAACAGAAGGTTTCTTTAAAATGCAGCCCAGCAATGAACATCCCACCTTAATTATTTGCCCCTCTTTGAATGGCAGCTCCTCATCCGCAGCATCTGGGTTGGGGGACATAGACAGAGGATCGTAGTCAAAGAGAGCCACAAATACCCGAAAAGGCTCCTCAGGCTCTGACTCGTCATAGTATGTTGGAGAGCGTCGGTCCCGATTCCTGTAACCATCTTAAACACATAAAAAAGGAGGAATCATAAAAAAAAAAAAATCACACTGGTGAACTAATGGATGTGACCAAAACAAACAACAACAAAAATAAAGAAGACTAAAGGTACAAGTAGTGTTTGTGGAAGTTGGCCACAGACGGATCAGACTTCTGAGCATCATGTCACATATAATGTTCGATTAACTACTTTTTCTACAACTTGATGAGATAAGCATCTTTAGAGTATATCAAAGCCATGTCCCAGTAAATAGAAATTGATGAGTAAATTTTGCAATTATGCATTGTGCTATATTATGAAATACACACATGAATAAAAAAAAAATCTCTCTTAACTGCTAATGCTACTGCAAAAAAAAAAAAAATAGAAGAAAACATTTACTGTGTAGAAACATGATTTATGGTATTATCATAAAATGTCAGTAAAGCTCACAGTTTTTTTCTCTTTTCCATTTTGTAGAAGCAAACAAAAGATTTTCGCCTCCTTATCTGTGCAAGATTTCACTTATTGGGAGTGTTCAGTCAGAAAGTCCTTCATCAGAAGCTCTGAAAGTGAAATCTCGCGCAGATCAAATATGCAAGTAGCTTCTGGACTATTTTTGTTTTCCAGGAACTTACCAAGATGTATTTAGGTCTACAGGAAACCGGCTGTATCTCTATTATGTAAAAATTGTGGCCCCCACATATTATCTTTCTGATTTAATTCTAAAGCCTACCTCAAATTTATGCTGGTGGCTGTCTTTATTGCTATGCTTGGGAGGTAGAAACAGCTCTGCAGACATACCAGGGGAAGACCTGGAAGACCGGGCGCATTGCTGCTCCCCCCAGAACACTGACATGTGCATCATTTCATGGGCATTACGCTGCCGTACGTTATGTATAAGTTAGGCTGTCGTTGGACATATGCTGTGGACTCTTTATGAATAGGCTATCTATACACCCAATATTGAAAAAATACATGTCCAGCGTATGCCAGCATTTTTCAGGATATTCTGGGAATTCAGGCATACACTGTATGTACTGAATCTGTAAGGTTTGGCAAGGCCCTCATGTATGTTACTTTCTGGCGTCTCCTAGTTCTGGTTCCCTTTCTATTTTTTCTGGATTTGTGCTTCCATCTACCTCTACTCTTAAAGCTGCAAGAAATCATCTCTGCCTCTTCATCTCTGCATTTGGGTCCTAAACTAGCATCCACTAATCTTGACAATTATTGATAGATTTGCTGCTAAAATTAAAAAAAGGAAAACAAAATTTAATTGAAGGAAAAAAGACAGACATTTAATGAGTTTTTGCTCCCCTTAAATTTGGCCACCTTATAACTAAAACATGTAAGTATCTATTGAATGAGACCAACACTACATAGTGCATACAGTGACACCTGACTTAAATAACAGGTTATCAGGCCTTTGAAACCCTTGATGTCTGTTCAGGATTTAATACAATCATTTTAGTTGGTTGTGCTGGAGACATATCATTACCATGCTAGCTCGTAGGATGGGGAATGTGTGTTCACTAGGAATAATTCTAGAGTTTGGCTCATCTAGATCTTGCATTTTTTATTATTGTATCCATTTATGTTATTATCCTAATGTCCAAAGAAGCTATGGGAACTATTTTTGAATTGAGAAATTTAAAAAATGCCTGGTAAAAGTAGCAAATCACTAGATATTTTGGCAGAGACTCCAACAGCAAGAAGGATCTATTTAACCAGAAATAAAATGAAATTATTTAGATCAAAAGTTATGAGTATGAAGAATTCCAGATCTAAATTCAACTAAGAATATATAGAAGACAAAGACATAAAGGTTTCCGTCCACAGATGCTCTTTGCCATCTGTGGAATTTGCAATATGACTGAATTTAAGCTATTTTCTAAAGAGGAATGGGTTAAAATGCCATAGATATATGTATAGCTGGCAGAGGCAAACCCCAAAACACTTACAGCTGTATTTGTGACTAAAGGTTGTTTCACATTATCAGACCTAAGGGGTACTGAAGACCAATACAATATATACTTCTCAGATTTCAATTTTTAAACCTAAAAAAAAAATAATTCTTTTTACATTTTATTTCCATTTCCAATTACAGTATAAATTGCTCTGAGCCGGTACAAAAACAACAAAGTTTACTTGTAATTTGTCAAAGGAAGGAATAATTAACTGTACTTTTTTTTGTTTTTGCAAGGTAGTCTATTTCCTATTTAGAAGATCATACTGTATAGAGAAGGACATGAAGACGGTTCATGGACACAGCCATAATCCTGAGACAGAGCATCGCATGAGAACTTTTAGTAAATCAGAATTACACAAAATATAATTTCATATTAATATAACCATATTGATACTGACCAATGAAAGGAACCATTAGAGGGCGCCTTTTGGGATGGGAGTCACCATGTTGAATTCGTCTACCACTGTCCCTGTCATGGCGACCTCCACCAGGACTATTGTTCTGCAATACACAGACACAAAGCAGATTTTACAAATATCAGATACTCATGATCTGCTGCTCACATGCAGAGCAGCAGATCATGAGTGCATATTTCAAAGTCTATCTCATCTCTTCATATATATATATATATATATATATATATAGCAAATTAAATAAAGGGAAAACTCAAATAACACATCCAATTCTAAAAGAGTGAAATATTGTAATTGAGTAAAGTAGAAAAATGATAATAGGTGGATCCAACTTTGATGTAATGTCCTTAGAAGAAGCTGAAAATGAGGCTCACTATTGTGTGTGGCCTCCTGTGGTGGATGATCTCGTGAGGGACCTTCTCCCAGGACTAAAGGATCCCCCAACTCCTGGACAGTCTGTGGTACAACAGTGACGGTGGTGGATGGATCAAAATATTATGTCCCAGATGTGCTCAATCAGATTCAGGTCTGGGGAACAGGCGGGCCAGTCCATGGCTTCGATGCCATTATCTTGCAGTAACTGGTAACACAATCCAGCCACATGAAGTCTAGCATTGTCCTGCATTAGGAGGAACCCAGGGCCAACCGCACCAGCATATGGTCTCACAAGAGGTCTAAGGATCTCATCTTGGTACCTAATAGCTACCTTTGCCAAGCACAAGGCGGGCAGTGCGGCCCTCCAAAGAAATGCCAGCCCACACTATTACTGACCCACTGCCATAACAGTCACCCTGAAGAATGTTGCAGGCAGCAGATCGCTCTCCACAGTGTTTGCAGACTCTCTCGTGTTTGTCCCATTTAATCAGTGTCAACCTGCTTTAATCTGTGAAGAGTACAGGGCACCAGTGGCATATTTACCAATCTTGGTATTCTCTGGTAAATGCCGAGCATCCTGCATGGTGTTGGGCTGTGAGCACAACCCCTATCTGGGGATATTGGGCCCTCATACCATCCTCATGGAGCCAGTTTCTAACCATTGGTGCAGACACATGCACCAATGGACAGAGGCATAATCCTGAGACAGAGCATGGCAAAAAAATAAATAAAAGCAGAGCAAAAAAAAAGAAAGTTCTAAATCATGTCACAGACTCTACATCCCACTGATAACACCAAACCAAAAACACTGCATATTTGCACAATATAAATTAATGCTCTGAACTTCCATATCAAATGCATTTTTTTGCATCATGTTTTTTCTCCCACACTGTTTACATTTGATCACTACTGCACTGTATTGAATTAAAATGTTAATTTACTGTCTGAAAAGCTGCACTCTATTAAATTTCGATTTGTATACATTCTGTGTATACAAAATGACAATAAAAGTGCTGTAAGTCTAAGTCATTTATGGCCTGCTTGAGGTCATTTTGCAGGCCTCTGGCAGGGCTCCTCCTGTTTCTCATTGCACAAAGGCAGAGGTAGTGGTCCTGCTGCTGGGTTGATGCTCTCCTATGGTCTCCTCCTCTCCTAGTGTACTGGCCGGTCTCCTGGTAGTGCCTCCAGCCTCTGGACACTATGCTGACAAACAAAGCAAACTCTGCCACAGTTCGCATTTATGTGCCATCCTGGATGAGATGCACATCCCAAACAACTTCTGTGGGTTGTAGAGATGGTCTCATGCTGCCACAAGCGTGAAAGAACTGCCAACATTCAAAAGAGACCAAAACATCAGCCAGAAAGCATAAGTGCTGAGAAGTGGTCTGTGGTCCCCACCGGCAGAGCCATTCCTTTGTGTCTTCCTAATTGGCAATAATTTCCACCTGTTGTATTTACCATTTGTGAATCAGTATGTGAAATTGATTGACAATCAGTGTTGTTTCCTACGTGGACAATTTGATTTCACAGAAGTTTGATTTCATTTAAGTTACATTGTGTTGTTTATATGTTCCCTTTATTTTTGAGCAGTATATACTTACACAAAGAGTCAAGTCAAAAATATAAACACTGTGTAAAAAAAAACATGCAACTGACAGGCAGGCACTGAAACAAAGACACATAGACATTTAAACATACATGAGCAAGTGAAAGATATTACAAGTAAAAATATGATAGGAAGCTGATATTGGTAACAAAGCCCTAAATTTGAATGTGAAACACATATAAGACATGATGCAAAGACATTAGTGAGCATGGTATGTGGTTCACATTGGGCCTGTTCTGAGCTGAACCAGCAAACGTTGACCATGTTTCTCCAGTGATCTTTATTGTTAGTTCAGAGATGATGAGAAAAATCACGAATGCACCTACACAGTTACCTAAAAATAATATTCCACAATTGTGGCAGAACAAGAGATGCCTGATTGATTTATTGGAGTGACATGGGTAGCCTATTACTTAAGTTAGTTTTTCAAGCAGTTAAGTGAAGGGAAAGTTGAAGCACTAACTGATTTCTGTATGATAGCAACAAAAAGCTCAGACTATTACTTTCTCCATCTTTATTAGTTAAACAGAGTGCTTCTTGAACGTATTCCTAAATGACAAACTATACCATCAATGCTCTTACACTGGCTTGATTCATAATCCCATAAGACTCCATCTTTTCATCCGCATAGGTATGAGATTTTGGTAGAATATATAATTCAGATTAATAGGCCTTCTATCCCGCTACAACATCCTCCTGATTTATTTGTGAATTTTAAATATATGATAATATAAAATAAATAACCATATGATCTACGTATTTTGTTAGTTTTCTTTATATTTAATTTATAACTCCTTTATTACTATACAATTTATATATTTCTGATTCCTTATGGTATGAATTCTCTTGGATGCTCCTCAAAATGGGAAAGACAAAGGAACATTTTATTTAAGTAAGGCCAATGTCTGATGGTCTACATATTCTATTTGACTGGAAAAAATATTGATATTTTTGAAGCTTTCTCCCAGATCTTGAAGTGCCAATAGTGCAGTTAAAGTATACTTTAGACATGGCATTACTGGAATTGTTTGTGCTATTTACCTATTGCTTCTTCTTAGAAAGCTTGCTCATCTGATTGCAAAGACAAAAAAAAAAGTTCCAGCAACCTTGGAAAAAATTCCACACAGAGACTCCCAGACTGATTTGAGAAACAAATCATCTGGTACATATATGTTCTGTGAGCTTAATGTTTGTTTTCATATAAACACCTTAAGCACACGCACCAACAACACAAGGTAAAATGCAACCAAGGCAGCAGTCATTTAAAGTATCTGTGCCTCTGCAGTTCACTACATTATAATGAACAAAGATGCTTAACTCTAAGAGTTACAGGAAGTGCAAAGAACTGCACCTTAGGTGTGTTGTGCGAGTTGCGTCGTCGTCCCTCTTCCAGCTGCATCTCAGAGTACAGCTCCTCCTCATCCTCCTCCATGATGTCAGACAGGTCAGAGCCCCGGCTGCTCTCGCTGTGATAATCTTCATTGTGACTATAGTGAGGCTTGTGGTGATTACAAAGACACAAACACACAGACGCAGTTGTTTAAGTCCACAGACATACCTAAGCACGCACAGACGTGGGTGAAGGAGTGTCAACATGCAGCCACCCTGATGTACATGCACACACAACACAGATCCTATCACATTTAAGACATTTTCCACAAAAAAAGAACCAGAACATTTGTGTTCAAAGAAGAGGAAAGAAAAGTTATTACTTAACACTGATCTTACCGGCCTCCCCAGCTCAGAGCCTCTGAGAAACTCATCAACTGATGGTCCTCTCCGACGTCCTCGAGCAAATCCCTCCTCATCTTCCTCTTCCTCATCAGAGGGATGCTGGTGATACGAATGACCCTGCTCTCCATATCTCCCCATCCTTCTGTCTCCCTTAAAGTGCATAAGAACATTTTGGAAAAATTGCCTAAACTGAACTTTTGAAGCCTGTCCATCACCTGGATCACTGAGAATTTTTTACAGATATACGCTTTGGAATATTAACAATCTTTTATCATTGCATCTGGCATTTTTTTCCAGATTGAAGTTTAATTTGATATAGAAAAAATTAGGTAAAAACGTAGCTCTTTCCATACCTTGCCACTTTCTGCTGCAACCCTCTGTGCTGCTTCTCGGGCAATGGCTTTGGCCACGGTATCCGGGATAAGCGTGCCTTGGGGCTGAGGAAGAATCCTCTGTGGGGAGGGGGAGCGCAAATGAACAGGGGGAGGGGCCTCAAGAGTGTGGCCTTGCATGGGCACAGGATGTTGCAAAATAGATCGAGTCTGGTCCCAGCCAGGCTGACCGGGTGGAATAGCTCCTCCATGATGAGCTGTGTGCTCTTTGGCATCCAGGTCTCTGGCACTTACTGGTCTCTGAGGTATAGGGTGGGGCTGAGGGTGGGGAAGCAGAGGCAGTTGGTGCTGGGGCCTGTGACCCTGGTGGAGAGGGTGAGGCTGCAGGTGTACCGGCTGTGGTTGGGGATGTGGAGATCCACCTGGATGGGGAAGTCTGGGATGGGCTTGTGGATGTGGAGGATGAGGTGGAAGTGGTTGCCCATGGGGTGGAGCAGGAAGTTGGGGTGTAGGGTGAGGAAGGTGAGGAGATAGGACGTGAGGTTGAGGATGTGGAAGTGGAGGAGGGCCTCCGTGTGGGTGCATGGGGGGTGGTAGGGGAAGGGGAGGTAGAGGCACAAGCAGGTTGTTTGGAATGACAGCGACTTGGGAGTCCTGGGATTCACCCTGGACTGACAGTGTTCTAACAATGACTTCTCTGGCTTCCAGGCATTGAATCCTTGTCAGATCAATGGTAACATAGTCTGCCATTGGAAACAGCACCTCAGCAATCTGGATTGAAGAAAAAAAACAACAATAATTATTCTCTAAGAAATCCCAGTAATATTCCTTTATGGCTTTATTAATATCTTACAAGAAAGACTAGTCTTTTTCACTAAAATTGATATCATTCATTATGTTGCACCATAAGTTCTTCTTATACCCTATTTAACTATAATAACATTGTTGTAATTGGATGTTTTGTTTCTTTTTTTCATTTTCAGCTGCAAAAAAAGACAAACCAACATCCATGTTCGCAACTGCATTTTGTATAGTAGCCATTGATGCAACAGCTGGAAAAATGATTTAATCTAAACACCAAAACTTAATAAAAATAAAACCTATATTTTAGAGCATTTAAAAGCAGTTTTTAATCTTCTGTATAAACAATTTATCTTTTATTATATGATGTACGGATTGACCGTTTTTGCTTTAGTGCTTTAATTCACTTTAGCTGTCACCAGAGGGGGTTAGAGACCTTTCCAACACATTAACATGTGCCAGAAAGTGAGTCATGGTTTGAACAGCAATCAAAGGCAGGATGCATTGCTGATTACACAAAATATATTTAGGAAACATCAAAGCTAAATAGAGGACATGGTCTAAATTAATATTACCTAGACATGCATACTTACCCTTTGTCCTTTAGTGCAGACTGCATAGCCAACAACATTTGCCCCATTAGATGTGCCAGTCGGAGAGAGGATTGGAGGCTTCCAGCGGACCTGCAGAACCCCTGGAGCCTGCCCACAGAGCACCTGAACATCCTGTGGAGGCTGTGGGGGACCTGAAAGGTAAGAAATCAGGGGTAACCAAATGGTTTACTGATCTGCAACAGTATAAAAACAAGAAGGCAAGATGGGAAGCATTCCTTAAAGGCATAAACAAGTGTACATACAACCATGCAAAAGAATGTATGACCATAAACAAGAAAGTGACAGCAGTGCAGGGATTATTTTACTTGACTATTCGGTTTTAATTAATTTCGTCATTAACCATAAAAAAATTTTTTGCTATGCATACATTCCAAAGCACTTAAATACTGGTATGAATTCTATCGTGTGCTCTTCAACTGCTCTCTAATCGGTAATGTGCTCTGTTTGGGAAACATGGGCAAAATTGCAAAGAAATTTGAATGGATACAGAAAAATGGTTTCATATTTAAGAAAAATCATTCAAACCAATTTGTTTTTCAATGCAAAATTCCTCTAGAACCATAAATGAATCCAACATTATTCACATGCCTTGAGTGAATGTGTGGTAATAACCCTTCTTGCAAAATTACTTCAAATTATTATGACAAATTTTCTGATTGGCTTATGTGTAACAGTTTGGGGGAAACATTGAAAAACCAGCCAAGCACTTATGCTCAATCTCTGACCTGTTCTGCAAAATAGTGTTGGGCCTGGATGGAATACAATACACAAAAAATAGCATAAGTTCAAAATATGGGCCATACTCCTTTATGGCACAGATTAAAAGATCATGTGATGATGTCATTTAAAGTTCACGAATAATCTAATAAACAGTAGTAACCAGGTTGTAAACAAGATGTCAGGAGTATGCTTGCGAAGGCCTTTTTTTTTTTTTTTTTTTTTTTTTTTTTTTTTGCTTTTAAAAAGGCTTGTTCTTAATTATTCCTTATCATACATTGCCTTCAGGTCCACTCACATCCATTAATTGTTCTGTATATTTCTCTGCAATGTGATACAACAACAGAAAGTGACACATAATTATTAAATGGTGGGAAATTAATATGCATACTTCATCTACACCTTCAAAATACATAATTTCACAGCATGATACCAAAGCTTTGTTTTTAAAAAGCTTATAAAAATTATGGATTTCCTTAATTTGATTTCATAATTGTAAACCACTTTATGTTGCTGTATTACAAAAGGTCATGAGAAATTATGTTCCATTTGTAGCTTAGTGCAACAAAATGTTAACAAGTTCAAGTGTCATCAGTATTTTTCAAGGTACTTTAGATATTTTATTACTGCATTAAAACATTCCACAAAAATATTACTGACCTGCTGCTTGTGTGCAAAACTCCACCCCAGCTTCTTTCCTCTCTCTCTGCTCCAAAGGCAGTTGCCATGGCACCTGGTGGGGCTGTGCCACTACTGTGACCTTATACACCGTTAGAGGCTTTAGGTTGTGGAATCTTAATCTATACCTTCCGGGCTTTACTACAGCATGCTCCGCCCCATCTAAGTACACAGTGTGACTGTAGTTGCTGTTGCTAGGCAGCCAGGAGAGCTCGGCAGTGTCCCGCTGGATGTCATCTACCCGCATTCCGCATGGTGCCACCACCACGTTGGCTCCCACCAGAACAGTGCAGCGTAGCTCGTCCGACAAGCCACGGTCAGTGACACTCTGTACAGAGACACGATAAATGCAGCTGTCCAAGTCCAGCTTTTCCAGCAAGCACTTGGTCCGGCCGGTGTATGGTATACTGGCACGAAGTTCCCCATCAACTAACACATTGTAGCCAGAGATGTTCCCCCAGCCCAAAGGCACTGCTGGAGGCTCCCATGCCACAATAACACTCCGTGCCAGCTGCTTGATGAGGGTTATCTTACGGGGGTAAGGCACAACATCTTCAGCTAGGTCCTCAGGATCCAGCCCTCCCCCTGTCCCATTGCTACATGGAACCAGAGAATTGCTTGAGCCCAGCAGGACATCTTGGGAGGTACCTCCATCCACGGTCATCAGGGCCATGGATGTTCGCTCCAGAGGGCCTACGTCTTCCCCTCCTTCCATAATAATTTTTTCTTTATCCTGGACAAATTCTACAAAGTTGGAAGGTACAAGTCCTCTTTGGCCATCCAGCAGCTCCCCTGTGATACAGGAAGGAGACAAATGTTAAAAAGATAACGACCTACTGTTAAACCACAATTATTCATATTTCCTATAGATCAGAATGTACATTTGCTTTTATTTCAGGAAAATAAATCTTGTTTTTGGTAGTAGCTAAGAGACATTATTTGCAACATAATAAAAAAGAAGTGTTCATGTAGAAGAAAAAGACATAATTATAAGGCATATTTACTCGCATTACCACAATCTAACCCTTTCTCTTTAAATGCTGATCACCCATTTTAATTATTCCTCTGTTTTTTAATTGGATAAAGCATTAATGCATGTTGAGTATAACAAGGCAAAATCTTCATGTTAAAATTATTAAGGTCGATGATCAAAATTAAAGCTATTTAGATGACTGAAAGGCAGAGAAGAGCAGATAAATGTCTATTAATCTTCAAAGATGTTCTCAATCCCCAATCAAGATTCTTAATTGGCGTTTTAATTCAGGAAATACAAAAATATATCGGCTTTTTTACATCAGTTTTAGCTTAACCTTTTAATGTTTTTTAAGAGGAGCCAAGAGTACATAGAAGAGTTATTCCTTAAGGAAAATATGGGCATCTTTTTTTTTTTTTTTTACCACTATGAGTTTAAATCAGTAAAGGGAATCTTATCCTTCAATCCTTTTTTCCTCACGAGCGCCTGGGAATCTTTAAGACTATTTGCATCTATCTGCTCATGGATGCATAAACAGAGTGTGATGCATGTGACAGAGTGTGCTTTGCTTGTATGTTCCGATGATTAAGCCCAGCCCCAATGGATTAGTCATCATACTAAAAGGGGCAAGAGTCCCATGCCGTCAACAACTTGGTCTGAGGCCTAAGTCTCCCTCCTGTGTTTTAAACACAGAGCTCCTCCACAATGCCGCACGATCTGACCGCCCAAGGCTAATGAATCACTGCAGATGAGTCCCAGAGCGACTACGACAAGTGTACGACTGCTGCACGATTGGAGGCAAGGGAGATTAGGACTGCGTCTGATGGAGATGCTTTCATAATTCTAAAGAGATTAGGAAAAGAGTCACTCCAATCAGCAGTTGTGAGAAAGTATGCAGAAAGTTGTTTGAGGTGACATCCGGCGCTGACAAAGCAGAGGTCACAGAATCAACACAGCTGGGGGCCAAATGATGGACGTTTATAATATGTGGGTGACAAGTCATGCAAACTGCCATGTAGCAGCAAGAGACATCTTTGTACCAGTGTTTACAGAAACAACTTAATCAGCACTGCAGCTCATTTATATTAAGGTCGGACAGTGCTGGATTGTCCTCCCAATGCTATGTACAACAAAGTCATTAACAGTAATTAAAAGGAAGGGAATGTACAAGATAAATCCAAATGTAAAAATATGATTTATTTACAGGCATACAGAGGTCTGTGTAGTAGTATTGATCTCTTTGCCATTATAGTGCTTCCAAAAAAGCAGTGTCTTTGCTTAATTTTTTTCTATTTTTTCTGGATTTCTTAAGGTTTTTGAATAATTTTCCTTGTGTTTTGTTTTATTTATTCCATCTACACTCTTTCAATATTTAGAAAATGAGACACACTGAATGACACATCGGCTAGTCAGACATGCCAACAATAAAGTAGGAAAGGTTTTATCTGGAAGCCTCCCACATAAAAAATGAAATTTCATAAACAGTTAAACTCTGACACTGCTGTTAACTAATTATGCAAAAAAAAAAAAAAAATAGTTATCTAGGGGAATATTCTAAAACCTTATTTATGTCCAGTTTAATTACCTATGCAAAGGAGGTTTTTAGGAGAGTTCGTGTGTGGGTGTGTGTGTGTGTTTCTCTGTCCGTCTGAGAACAGGATAACTTAAAAATGTATTAATAGGTTTTAATGAAATTTTTACCAAAGGTGCGCCTCAGTCCAAAGAACAATACATTACATTTTGGTAATGATCCAGATCACCATCTTGATCCAGGATTTTTGTTTTTGAAAGATTTTTTGAATACAGGTAAAAATTTAAGGTGGAAGTCACAATATGTTGGGGGAAATTAGCTACTTGCCCGGGATCTGCTCTTTCCAGCCAAAGCACATACAAAGAAGACAGAAGACAACATAGTCCATGATCTAGAGGAGCCATCGCATAGGCTTGATCTGAATCCCATAGACATTTGTGAACATAGTAGAAGAGTTGTGTGTGAGCAATGTCATCAGCAAGTGTGGCTCAAACTGGTTCTGTATGACGGAATGGACTCTGAGAAGCTTGTAAATGGATTCCCTAAAACATTTGACCAAAGTAATACAGCTTAACAAGCAGTTGCATAAATGAATAAACACATTTATATAAACTTCGGAAATTTAAATGTTGGACATAATAGTTTTGGTAATAAACTATTATTGTAATAATGATAATAATAATAATACTATTACTATTATTATTATTGTCATTATTATAAAAAATATGTCTTTTTAGATTATTTATGTAAATATTTATTTTAATGTTACATTTGCATCAAACATCAAAGACAGCTGATCAGTATATTTTTTTCCCCTGACCTTCATAAAAGCCATCATCATCCATGTCTCCATACACATATAGATATTTTCCAGCCACAAGAGGGAGCTCTGCCTCAGGATGTTCATTCGGTCCATCATAAGGGTTATAACTTGTAAGAGAAAAGATGAAAGTGTTAAAATCAATGTATGAAGTTACAGGGCTGCACACATGAGAACCAACACGAGAATTTTGATGTTTGTCTCGTTCACCTGTAGCGGGCAGTGCAAAGGCGGACCTGGCCTGTGTAGCGAGGTTTTGACCTTGGTGACGAACTTGTCTCATCCTCCATCTATTGATCAATTAAAATTACAAGTCATTACACACAGGAAGAAACTAAGATGCAAGTAGACTTATTTCCAAAACTCAAAGGGATGATTAGGAGGCTTATTTTGCAATGTGGTGTCACTTACTCTCACCTCAGATGGAGGATTCTTTTGGGGGCTGTTGGAGCGGTCCGTTGTTACGGTGCTGGATTTGATAGACAGCAGTTTGAATGTTTCCCTGTCTTCAGTCTGCAGAGGGCAGGGCTAAAACTGAGGGATCAGAAGCTGAGCTTTTGGTGAACTCTCATCACCTAGGAGACATTGATTTAAAAAGCAAATGAAGAGACACTGTCATTCCTCATGCACCCCATTAGCTGTTCATTGCACACCTATTGATTCCCTCGTTAAGCAATCATACAGTTAACACATTTCATGCCAAAAGGCTTTTCAGCCTTTGTCAGTAATTCCCATTTGCAGCCCATATGTGTTTTTAAATATCACTTAGGGAAATACAGCTTTGTTTACACAGAGACAAAGAGAGCGCGGAGCTTTATTCTTGAGGGAAATCATATTCAAAGAACAATAATTCACTGCTATACACTGGCTGTTTTGTATTTTTTAAAAAGCCCCACAGATGGGTAAGTCAGGGCAACCTTTTCAGAATCCGTGATTAAATGTATAAATAAGTATATTAAGGTAACTATGTACTGTAGGATAATTTAGCTTTGTGTTTCAAAAGTGCAAAAGTAGTTAAGCAACCTAATTTCAGACTGTTTTGAAATAATATAAAATGTTCTTAATCAATGGTTTCTTATAATCATGGATAATTTTTTGATTTCTGTCACTGAACTGTTTGAGTTTTCACTCCTATACAGTGAAATCAACACAGAACACACACACACAGAAAAAGTACTAAAACTACATTCACTTTCTCAAACCTTCTTTTTTGCAGCTGGGACTAAGAATCTGTGAGCTTATGTGGCTCATGTAAGGTGAAATTATTATTTCTGAATACTAATAACCTATGTTAAAACATGCTCAAAATAATTCAAACATAAAATACCTGTACGCCGGCGGGAGTGCCCTTTCTCAATTCACCAGAACGCGAATACGGACTCGTGTCCTCGCCAAGTATGTTCTTGAGAAGAACACAGAAAAGTACGGACTTGGTGAGAACGGGAGCATGCAGCATGAATATGAGTCAATTGGAACAGAACCGTACTCGTGACATCTAGAGCTGTATTTCACCTCCTATTATTAAAAGTCTCTAGATAATAATAAATTATTACTTTTTTCATTTAGCTGGGGAACAATAATTAACACAGTCGGATAAACACAAATCAAATGAACATTTTGCCAAATAAAACAAGAAAAATCGTCATCAGAGCCAGCGATCCTTCACACACACGGCAATGCCGAGAGAGGGCTGCTGCAGACGGGCTGCGGTTAGCCCTGGCTGCCATTAGCCTTGGAGGTCTGCTGGTTGCTGCCATTCTCTCAACTTCGGACATTTTTTTTATTACGTATTAAATCGATAAATGGACCCTATAGTGACACTTTAAAGTATTATATTCTCCCCTCAAATGATCTGAAAATGTACTTTTATTGAACAACAGCAACGAAAAAAAAGAACTTTTAACTTTTAATCGAGCGCTCCATTGAAAGCTGCTGCTGTAGCATTGCATTCCGGGACAGCTGTCAATCTCAAGAATGGAGAAGTCTGCTCTGATTCATACTCTGTAAAGAAGGAGGGGCGAGAACAACATCCAGGGACTTTGTCTGTTCTCGGTCTGCTGTTCTTGTGAATTGGAACAGTACTAGGGCTGAGGTTGATGACGTTTCACAAGCACACAAACACATGAGAACGCACAAGTACACATATTGAGAAACGGCCTTTATCTTCCAAAACAACAATGGTGCGTCTGCAAGATATCACGGTCACGGAGATGGATCTAGAGTTGTCGAAGAGGAACAGGTCCTGTTAATGGAGTTGTCAAAAAGACAAAGGAGGACGCGTAGGTTGTCTATGGTAGTTTTTCCTTGGTTTTTAAAAATGGCGCGCCGAATCGAGAAGGTCGACCACAAAGACAGCCGGAAAGGCATACCAAGGACCAATCAAAGCTGCTTTTGGTCGCCTTTCTGCTTAAGGTCTGCGAACATCCGATGTGTAGTCAGGATTTTTTTGAGGTGTGCCAGGACAGTTGTAGAACCTCTGCATGGGGGGCGTGGTCTGACAGATTTGATGGTTGCAGAGGCGTCAGAAGCATAAATTGGCCTTAACAGCGCATAAAAACTGGATAAAGAGGAGGCTCTTTTGTAATCATATTATTGGTACTGTTACAGTATATTACAGTAGATAAACAAATATAAAATTGAATTACTTCTTATAAAATGGATCAAAAGTTCTGTGTTAAGTATAAAAGTTGTTATTTCAGTGACATGTTTCTATGCAATTAAAATCCTGTGTGGGTGAACACTCAATTTGATTGGCTGCAGGGTGTCCATTAAAAAGTGTTATTAGACACCTGTAAAAAGGTTCAAATTGCCTGATTGTTTCTCATATTGTGCTGGTTCACTATGAAATTAGATGTTTTGAATGACAGGTTCTGTTGCCAGAGCTGGTTAACTTTGTAATGTGTCACAAGGACAGATCATATAGTCCACTCAAGATTTAAGGATTTTCACAGTTTAAACAAAAATTTACATATAGAAAATGTAATATTTATTTCTACCGCAAGTGATCATGGAAGCAGGATTTATCCCTTCAAGGTGTCTTTTTATCAGAAATGAACAGACTTTACCAAAGTAGCCATCCTCCAATTGATTTACATTTATTTCTAATCATAGACACCTTATTGGGCATTATCCAACACTTGCTTCATTCCAGTATGTTTAGAAAACTTTGATCATTGAAAAGAAACATAATGATTCATCACATTTAATCATACGGTCACTGGTCCTCTAGAGAAGCCCTGTTTTATCTATACCTGGTGACTGAGCATTGAGTCATGAATATCGGGTAATGAGAACCATTTTTATACGTCATGAAGAACCTAAAACCAGTAAACATGAAATTATGTACAATGTTTTTCTTTTGTCCTTTATTTCAAATCAGAGTGCTTTTTTAACTTTTGCTGTTTATTGGGGTATTTCCCAACATTTAAAGGGATATTTGGTTTTCATACCAAGCAGATGAAATACTGCATGCTGGTTCACGATGTTAAAGAGACTGGCTCTAGAAATATGTAGACCATGATTTACTCCCTCACTGCAGAGTTTTAATTTCTCTCACCAAACTCTAATTCTCAGCCCAGTAAAATCATATTAAAGTGCTTTTGATGACTAATAACATGACCTCACTTGAACTGCGTTCATAAAAGTCTGAGACCCATTATCACAGCAGGATTTAGGGTAAAAAGAGAAAATTATTTTCTGTAAATGAGGGAGTGACATCTATTAAAGGAGTTTAATGAGATACACAGTAAATCAGCTGATGGATCAGTGGAAAACAGCCAGCTGAGGTACGACAATATGACGATATGTTACTGTGCTTTCAAATACTATATTAAAAAAATAATAATTATTATTATTATTATTATTATAGATTTATGTAATTTTTGAATTCATAGTTTTCTTCTCCCTTTTTATTTTTTCAGGATATTTTTCCATCATTTTTGGTATTATTTATTCCTTGGTCTAGTTTTAGTTATAGTTATTAGTTTTATATGCCTTTAGCTTCATTTAAGTTATTTTCTAGTTACAGTTAGATCCTGTTTTTTTCCCTGGTTAGTCTTTGTGCCCCTATTGTCCCTTTTCTTTCCCCTTAGCTCCTTTCTAGTTCCTTCTGTCCACACCTGCTCCCAATCAGCTGATTAGCCCATTCGTTTTTCTGTCTCCCATATATACACCACCTGTGCAGTTCCTCATGGCTGGATTCTCTTCATTCTTATGTTCGTTTCTCCTGAGCATCTCATAGTTTTAATTCCTGAGTTCTTTTCTGATAATTTGTGGAAAAATGTTTTTGTACCATCTACCTAAACTAAATTAAATTAGCAAGAAACCAACACACCCTTTCCTCTCTTCATTTGGGTCCCCTACAAAACTCCTTGCCAATCGTTACACCTATGCTTTTACCAAAGATGTTATTTGATTATTTGTTTAATTGAATGATAAAAAAAAAAAATCAAATTTTTTTGGGCTTTACAAAAAAGTTTTAGAATAGAATAAAATGTTTACTTATCTTGCTTTGGTCATGTTTCTGTTACAGGAGTCGAATTAAACTTCTTGTAAATACATTAAAAGCTCAAAGGATTTTTTTAAATTAGGTTTTGTTCTCAGATTCACATTGAGTGTTTTCATCTTGGCTTTACAGCTGCAGTGAAACTGGAACAATTTCCACTTTTTTTTTTCTTTTTTTTTTACGGCTAAGAATAACATAGAGCCTTTATTTTTATTGTCAACTGTCATTCTAGAGCACTGAAAGCCCCCTGTCTCTGCTGTCAGCAGTTTATTGTGTTTGGTTGATAACTAAGAATGCTTTTGTTAAACTTTGCTTTCAGCATGGTAACCATGGCAGTGTTGGTCAGTGAAATATTTTTTGCCTGATTACAGCAACAAGATACATTTGCATGAATTAGTCCATGGATATTCATGAGACCCACAGGATGAAGCTGGAAAGATTCTGCTGATTTCCTAAATTTATTGTAGCACCATCAGCAGAATTTTTTTTTAAGCTCCTTAAAATAAAATCCACCATTGTGCATAATAAGAGTTTATGGGAAAAGAAAAATGGAGGCAGTGAATTTTAACATCAAAGTTATCTTTAAAGGAAGGTAAAAAAAAATAAAAGTTAATTCAATTCACACTTGATTAGTTTTAATGGAATTTTGTGACTACTGGTTTCCTTAGTGTTTCTATGTTGCTCCACAATCAAGTACAAAAAAGGAAGTGAAAATTTTATAAAACATAATTAAATATCTACCTCTAGTCACAGTGCTGCTTCCTCATGTTGTTGGTCAGTTTGATCGCAGGCCTGCAGAGAACACACAGAAACACATAGTGACAGCTGACACTGTGATCACAGTCTGTAAGGTGGACTAGACATCACACAGCTGACATAATGTCTACACAGTATTGTGGATGAGCCTGGAAGAGGCTCACTGGTTCAGCAGAGCTTTGGTAGTTGATTAACTGGGACAGCTCCAGTGAAAGGTAACTGATCTATTCTTAGGTATGTTAGCATCAGGTAATTATTATAAAAGGTGCTTTAAGTCTTTTAATGTTAACGAAAGCACTCAGTGGGATTAAACAAATCACTTGGAATAATTTAGAACCTAACCTTTATCTGCCTTTAGCAAATGTGAAAGTTCAACTTAACTTGAGGACAAGAAAAATCTATAATTGACCTTTTATTGGCATCCTGGTAAAGAGAAGACATTCTGCTAGTTAAGGCAGGAATTAACCAGCTACTTAATGTTGCATATTAATTCCCTATTAATATGTGTCCAATGAAGTAAATGATGAAATCATCACATATCTTAACTTGTTTGAACATACGGGCAGAAAGATAGATGAATAGATTTAGTTGACTTAAAAATGTTATGACAGGGTAAGTGGTCACACACTTGATTAGCAACTTAAGATTTCAATAATTCTAGATATGAAGTTAATATTAGATATAGGTCTATACTAAGGGTGAAGCAATTATTCGGATTAATCATGATTAATCGATTATTGAAATAATCGTTAACTAATTTAGTAATTGATTAATCGTTAACTGGACTATAGAGACTCTAAAACATGACAGAGCTACCCACTTAGAGCAGTAATTACATCAAAATTGTATAAATTAATATAAAGATTTTGCATTTGAGATTTAAAAAAAAAATTTATTTGTCAATATGCTCTAACCAGAACTCCTTCAGTGGAAAAGTTTTAGTATCATATGTTTTCATTTTATTAAAAAAATCTTCTTCAAGGAACCTTTGGCTATACACTTATTAATCGATTCATCAAAAAAATAATCAACAGATTGATTGATTTACAAAATTATTGTTTTGTTGCAGCCCTAGTCTTTACACTTTGAGTCATCTTGATCAAGAAAGAAAAAGTAATTAGATTTAATGCTTAAATGAAGCATTAGATCTAATATTAAATATTAAAAGCTAAAGTTTTAAGGCGGTTTTAAATTGTGGTCATAATCTAAGGAAAAATAAACTTTAACTTTATAGTTTTGTCGGAATTTCGGTTTAATATACAAGTTAAAGGTTTACCTAAAACAATATGTTTGAAAATGTGAAAGTTAAAATTATTGTAAAACTTTAATACTGTGTTCGGTATCAGTGAGTAAATACTTTTGGAAATTAAAGCCCCCTAAAATTAAGTCACATGCATCAGTCATGTTTAACAAATAAAACTAGGCAGCATATTATATTGAAAAATCATTTAAGAATAATGATTTATTTATTTCATTTAATAATAATCCATTGACCTCCAAACTACATAACTTAAAATTCTACAGACCAAATACTATCCAGAGGGTGTGTATATTTCATGCTAATCACAAAATCTAACTCACCGATACTAAACTTGTATTTGTGATCAATCTAGAAGTTGGACAGACCTTTGAGATCCTTTTATTTTCTGGTGCAATCGACCGTATGGCAGTAAATCAGCAAAAACTGGGCTACTAACACATCAGTAACTGAACAAGAGACCTTGGCATTAAGTCCCTGCATAAAATCTATATTAGAAAAAGAAAAGTTTTCAGTGATTAATTCTCTGCTTTGTTCCTATCCAGGGCCATACCTTTTGTAGCTGATTGACCACTCAAGAGGTGTGTCCACACTTAGGTCAAGAGCAGAGAGCTTCATGGAATGGGTTTCCATGGTTGAGCAGATGCATCAGAGCCATATATGACCAACTGCAATCAAAAGTGTCAGATGCAGTGATTTAAAGCGCAAACCCACTGGATTCCAGAGCAGAGAAAGTATGTTATCTGGAGTGATGAGTCACACTTCATTTGGAAATCTGATGGACCAGTCTGGGTTTGGTAGTTGCCAGTAGAACTGTGCTTGTCTGACTGTGCCAAGTTTGTTGGAGGGGAGGTTGTGATGTACAGTAGGGGCCTGGCCCCTTAGTGCCAGTGAAAGAAACAGTGAATGCTTTCAAAGACATTTTGGACAATTCCATGCTTCCAACTTTTTTGGAACAGTTTGGAGCTGCCCCCTCCTCTTCCTACAGTACATCACTGTGCACCAGAGCACAAAGCAAGGTCCATAAAGACATGGATGGCAGAGTCTGGTGTGGATGAACTTTATTGACCTGCACAGAGTCTTGATCTCAACCAGATAGAAAACCTTTGGCATGATTTAGAGCAGAGACTGAGAGCCAGGATTTCTTGTCCATGTGACCTCACTTTATCCATGATGCTATCTGTGTTTTTCTATAACCAAATTGTGCTAAACAGGACAGATTATCATTACAATTGTGAGTTTCCACCTGTTTTTATGCGGCTCTCATGACATGTCATTATAGATATTTATAGAATTGATGAGCCAGATTGGAAAAGGAGAAAGTACAGATATGTTGTGTTCAAATGTAGTCAGTTAAAATAAAAAGTCCTGAGAAAATGGATACTTATAATAAGTACAAATACAGAAAAAAGCTACTTAAGTACAGTAACTTAGATTTATACTTTTTGTGCAAAATTAGTTTAAGATTCCTAACACTGATATTTTAATAGTATACTTTAACTTGTGAATAAAAAAAGTGCTTAATTTAATGATTTTCTTCACGTCACGTCTATGATGTAACTGCTAAAAAATCTTTAAGTTATCAGATAAAACAACATAAAAAAGCCATGCATCTTTGGTAAAAAAAGGTAGAAATTCTTTAAAGGAAAAGTCAAGTAAGCTTAATCTCCCTTTTCATGTTGTTTTTCCCGATCCATGTTTTTTCCTCCCACACTGCCCAGTCTAATTTTCTCTAAATAGTCTCTTTGTGTCCATAATCAATGCTAAACCTGAACGTGACAAAACTTTCATTGCTGTATCACAGAGTAGGTCAGCTTTTCTCATATGGGCACATCTCTCGAATATCCTGACAAACAGACAATCGATGGGAGATGTAGGGAGACAAGGATTTGTAATGACAGAGCTTCGCGCAGAGAGGCGAGACTGTTTGATTGCTACTGGAAGATAGAAACACACTGAAAGAAGCCTCTTCTTAAAGAGAGGTGTCATTTTTGAGGCTTCTTCAAATTCAGAGGATTACTGAGCCTTTGTACAATTTGTGCTATTTGGGAAAGCCCAGGTTATGACATCATGGCTTTATGTGATTCACAATATTTAAGATAACTGGAGGCCCATCTCACGTTTGGGGCAACCCCTAAAACAAAATGCTTTCTTTTGCAAGATCATTATCATTCAATCATAAAGCATAACACAAACACCATACAAAATAGAGGGAGGAAAAGACCTTCTCACAATGTACTAAACGGCAGATTTCACAGATGTGTTTAATTTAAACACTATGGGATGAAGGGAGAGCTGGTTCCACAATTTAGAAGTTGCAACTAAAAAGGCCCAATCCCCTCTTCGGAGGCACATGGACCATGGGACGACTAATTTCCAATGGAGATTAGATCTATGCGATCTAGAGAGTGCATAAGGCTGGAAAAGATCCGAGAAATATGCATGTGCATTTAAATTTAGGGCTTTAAAGGTGAACAACAAAACTATAAAATCAATTCAGAAACAAACAAAGAGCCAACTATATGCAAGTATAAACCTCATGGGAAGTCTGTACTGGAATACAGAGAATGTTGTGAATCTCTGAGAGGAAAACACTTTGGTGCATAATTTACATATGAACCCCAGATTAAAAGGAACAATCCACTGGACTTTGTTTCCAAGTTTGAAGAAGTTTCGCTTACGATCTAGGAAGATTTTTCATTTCAAAATGTCAGAAATGAGTTGAGTTGAGTTCAAGGCTTTATAGAATGGACCAACAATAAAGCCTTGTTTGGCTTAGAAAATATGCAAATTGAACCGGACGAACTGGTCCGCCCCTTTGGAACGCGGGTAGTTTGGTTTCTTTGTTAGCTTGGAATAGCCAATACCTGTCTATGTCTCTGAAAGGGGGTCGTTAAAGGGAATTGTTGGCTGGATAAACAGGCGAGGTGTTTTGTTCCCCTGTGAGGGGGTGGGGGTTGTGATGATAGTAGGAAGGCATCAACTCAGTTGCTGAATTGCAGGTTTTTGAAAGCTGAAATCTGAGTCCACCCCCTCTATTTAAGGTTGTTTTATTTTTCTTAACATAGAAGGCTTCCTTCACGCCCCTCTCAAACCACCTGTCTTCTTTGTCCAAAATGTGAACATTCTGGTCTTCAAAAGAATATATCCTTTGTCCATAAGATGTAGCTGTACCGCCGGGTCTTGTCCGAAGGAGGTCCCTCTTCTGTGTTGAACCATATGTCTGTGGAGAGGTTGTTTGGTTTCTTCAATATAAAGATCAGAGCCTTCCTCACTGGATTGAACTACACACAGCACTATGCTCATATTTGGTGCACTAGTCTCTGTTTAAGGGTCTTGTTTTGTTTGAAATGTACCCTATTTGGATAAAATCCTCTACAGTTTGTCAGAGACTCCAACAACATATGGGATGGCGCTGTTTTTGCATTTAATCTTCTCTCCGTTATGATCTGCTGCGTGTCTTTTGGGTTTCCTTGCTGATTTGACAAAATTCCAGTTTGAGTATCCACAGGTTTGAAGAGTATACAAATTTCAAGATGTGTGTACAAAGCAGAAAATATTCATGTCACATTCATTCACTTAATGTACAACATTTTTGATAAACGACATAATATAATCAAGGACTCTAAAGGAGGATCATTTCACATTAAGCTATCTGATTGTATAGGGAATATCCCACTCTGCAAACACACACTTGGAACGCTATTTGGTTCCATGTGTTTTCAATATTTCTTTATCTGACAAAGCTTGGCAATAGGCAGAGTGATATGGCATGTCTTACCTTAAACACATATTCCGGATTTTTGACCTTGATCTGGGGTTAGCTCCTTTTTGGCTGGACCACCCTCTCTCCTGGCTCACTGTGGCAAACCTTTTTCACAACTGGACATAGCCGCATCGCACCTGCAGGAGAATGAATCACAAATGGCTCCGTAACATTAGATAGAAGAGGGTGAGAAATGATTAAGCCAAGGTTAAGTGGATATTTCAACTACATGGAAATAATAGAAGCTGAGAATTGTGAAATGTGAGCATCAGATTGTTTTCTTCTTTTTTTAATGGAAAAAACGGATGCAAGTTGTCTGAATGTCACTTGTGTAGCACACCTACTTTTACGGTGTAAAATGAAGTACGTTTTCTCTGGCTAATTTGTCGCTTGACTTTTAAATCTGAAGATAATTCATCATATTTCCATTTATCCTTGATGACTTTCAGCTGCTGACATGGGCACCCCACTTCTCGCTTTGATTTCAGCCTTGAGCTGGATCTTCTAAAGGTGGCCTTACAAGATGGAGCTGAGCCCCCCATTAGCAATGCACCCTTCGTCTTCTCATTAATTACCAAAAACCTGCAGAGTGCACAATAGATAAGCTAACACACAAACATTTGACAGCCGCAAAGAAAATAAGATCATTTATTTTGTGGGATTAGACACAGCAGCAGGAGCTGCCAAAGGGAAGCTACTCCTCTAATGCTTGCACACAAAAAAGAGGCAGTAAACCAACATTAGATAACAACTACTATGATAATTACTTTTAATAGTTTATATTCACATTATTTTAGAGATACATATTTAATTGTATTTACAAAGAATAATCGTGAAAATATAAAAAAAAAACTATAAGTTCACCACCCAGTCCCTTTACAGTATGGAGGCCTGTGGTTTTAAAACATTGAGCTTTAACACAAAAAAAGCAGAACTGGCTTGCTTTTCTTTTTATTTATAATTTTTTCTCTATTCCACTTAGTTTCATTTCACTTATCTCAAACAAAAGCCAAATAAACACTTCATAACTGATGCAATGGTTATAGTTGACCATTGTCCTTAATATTTTACTGCACAAAAATGTATTAAAGTAGTTCTTAACACCTCACAGGGGTTAGATTAGAACAATGCTTATTTTTACAAAATTTGGTGGTTGTCCAAAATAATAACTGTGAGATCGTTTTGCTCCAAACATACTATTTGAAATGTTTCTCCCTGAAACCAAACTAACGTTTTTTCACAGACAAAAAGACATATTTTCCAACTATAATACTTGTCAAGGTATGTGTCTGAATTGTTTTTTATCTCTCAGGTATAATTTATTATTTTATGTATATTGTAAATCTAGGGTATCGTCCAAAAACAGGTTCTACCATTTTCTTTGCCACAATCACCCTTACAAGCCCCCCACCCTTGCTTGTTCTACAAATCTGGCAGGACGCATGTGCTGTTAGCACCCTTCTTTTTTGTCTCTGTGCCCACCTTATCATTGCACAGATGGCATCATTTATGGAGCAAGAGGTCTGAGCAGGGCTTCCTGGACACATGTCAAGGAAGCCCACACCCCCACCTTCACACCACCGCTCTTAAAGTCAGTTTTAGTGCCAAAGCAGCTAATGAGTCAGACATTGTCTGAATTTGAAGATCTGTGGATATATTTATAAAAGGATTTGAAGTGGCTGAAGATTAACTTTCATGCAGTCGGAGATTATCAATCTGAAGAACCCGAAGGAGTATTAAATTAAAATGTGTGTAATCTGATAATGACCACACGGGTGCAGCTGTATTGATCTGTGGGGTATTACT